CTCGAGATATTGTGATTGATTGACATGTGGACTGACAAGTACCCCTCGATTGGGCGCCAGCCTCCCGTATCTCCCATCCCCACGCGGCCCTTTCCCTACAGCAAGGAAAGGACGCGTGTATCTGAGTGGGACGTACGAGAACCCGTCGCACAAATCGGCGGGCACTATTACTTCCCTCCGGCCGACCGTTGTTCAGGGTTCGTAGACGCAGATTTGCCATTATCGATACGCACTTTCCACCCTACTCGATATTGTTGCCGTTTAACGAGCTGATCGTCATTCCGTGCACGGCAGTGGCGCCCCATTGGCCCCGCACTCTGTGTACGGAGCGCCAGCGTTTCGATCGCTACGAAGCGAAGGGCTTCCACTACCGAATACGGAGTGAGGACGAGCACAAGGAAAGAGTCACTCGGCTGAGACCATCCACGTCGGACTCGAAACTAACCAGCGAACGAAGACGAGATCTGATACGAAAACGAGACACGTGAAGCGTACCAAAGCCTTTTCGTTCTAAACGACGGGCTGTAGCCCGGTGGGAAGCCCGGCAATACTTTTCGGATTGAATTTGGATCTTTCTGTTTTCGCACCATGTCCCGCGCATTCCGCGACGCGCGAAATTAATCGACTTGCTTCATCGGACCTACACGGGGGATTTCAGTTCCATCTGTGTCCCCACACTCAATTTCCAAAAATCCTTGGCACACCCCATCTTGCTGTTTTTTTGGGCCTCTTTCCGCACGTCTCACACTCCGAACGAAAGACAGCACAGGGCGTGAGGTTGCACGTCCCAGACATGTGTGGTCATCCCTGCATGTCAAACATAGATTTCGACACACGCACATGGAACACAATTAGTCAAACCTACTTGTCAAACACAAATAGTGCCACCTGCTTGTCAAACACATATTAGTCAAACCTACTTGTCAAACACAAATAGTGCCACCTGCTTATCAAACACATATAGTCAAACTGGGATGTCATACACAATTCTAAAGAACTGCATGCCTTTCCTGCGTGGGAAAATAGGGAAAACTGGCTACTCCTGAAAATTGGAGGCCGGGCCCGACGACAAACGAAACGACTGCCTTTGATAAATCTGATCGGCGGCTGTCGTTTTGTTTGTTGTCGGGCCCGGCCTCCGAATTTTCAGGAGTAGCCACTTTTCCCTATTTTCCCACGCGGGAAAGGTACTAGTGGTTTAAAGACAAAGACAGTTTTCCCCAACCTGTTATCTCCATACACCTGCTTAAAACCTAAGGGCATCCCTCCCATGACAACACTTTCTTTCTTAACCGCATCTGACCATACTTCTGGTCAGATTCGTTTGAGAGGTGTCTAACTTTCTTAACCTATTCTGACCACAATTCTGGTCACATTCTGACCATAATTGTGGTCAGATTCGGTTGAGAAAGTTGGGATGCATCTTGGGAAGTTCTAGTGTGAGGAGAGTAGTACAGTCACTACAGTGTTCGAAACTCAATTCTAACTTCCTCAACCCAATCGGCAATATCCCTGGAAATTCCTTCCTGCACGCCGTCAGATTCGGTTGTTGAGGACCAATCCTCATTTTCGCCTGCTCGCCGATTTTTGCCGAGCCTGCAGGGAGTGGGAAAAATATGGGACATCTGCTGCTGCAAGCAGCTACCGCCCCTTATGCTGAACCTGCTGCCAGCAGATGGAACACAAACAGACTATCGTTTTCTTCTTTCCACTTCGTGCAGAAGGCTCCCGTGAAAGATCTTCTTCCAAAAAAAAAAGGGGGGGGGAGAGGGGGGAGGGGAAATGGGAAACCTGCATCTGAGCGTGATTGCCCTAAGATTCATATGACTTCGTGCAGAAGTGAAGCCACAGTCTCTCTGGGAGCTGAGGCAATGAATGCTCCCCGTTTGTCATGGGGAGCAAGTGCACAAACAGCCAACAATCTTCTTCCCCCCAAAAAAAACAAAAAACAAAAAGTGGGAAACGAGAAACCACCATCTGAACCTGATTGCCCTCCTATTCATATGACTCAGTGCAGAAGTGAAGCCATATACATTATTCAAAAAAAAAAAAAAAAAAAAA